AACAATGGTTTTTTCACAGCTTTTTGGCCATTTAACTTCGCTTTTTCGTCATTTTGCCCTATATAGGCACTCCTGCTGCCAATTTGAGCATGCCTTCTGCACAACCAACTAATCGCGCACCCTGCCTTTAATAGGCTTCCAACCACAGGTTTTCCTACTTCTTCAGTAAGATAGAGAAAGTGTGCGGTGTGAAAAACTCTCAACTATGTGGTATGTAAAGGAAACTCAACGTACTGAGCGCGAGGGCGTTACGGGGCGATTTATTCTCTCGGACGATCAAGCTGTGAAGATGTTCGGCATCGTGTGGAGAATTTTTGACCATTTGTGTCACATCCCGTAAAAACTTCATTAGCGCCTGAGGAATAGCAAACATGTCAAATTGAATTTTTAGTCGTGGATGGGAGAACCAATAGTTGATGAATCGCCAAGAGATACGCCACGCACTTGTTGTTCGCGCATAATCGTTACAAGAATTTGAATGGATATCTAACCTCTCACGACGTTGAAAGCGTGGTTCGCCTACCAAGCATGATGCAAGGGTTCCCCTTCAGAACAATTTTGTTGCTCTCAAAAGGAGGAAGAGGATGTTCTGAGGCATTGGCTGTGCTATCTTTGGACCTGTGGTTTGAGACAGAAATGGTCTTCATGCATACTGGACACATAACTGCTTCCCTTTCTCTGAAGATGCTACCGTTTCTGAGCTGACCCTAGGCTGTAAGCTAAGAACCGGGTTCGCCTGTGATGTGCAATGGTTGGCCCGCTATCTCGGCAGATGTGAGTTTCATCCCATCCGGAATGCAGAAAGCCATAAATCAGCATTCTAAAGATTGCCTCTGCGCTTTTTATTTCGGCTCGTTTATAAGCCAGTTATATGTCGTTGCGGCCATTTTTTCTTATACACATACATTCCCAGGGAAACATGTATTTTATGGGGTTCAAGCCGATTAAAATAGCACTCTTAAGGCACGTATGTCAATCTAAGACGGTATTCCAGAACAGGTCTCACTTATGCTCTTCTTTTGCTAAAAAACAAACAAGTTTAGGATCTGGTTAGTGGAATGACCTCAGGGAGGTATCACCCCAGTGAAGGGATCCCATCGTGAGAAAAGCACAGCTATTTAGTCGTAGACGGGCTTGCGTTAGGCTGCGTTTATACTTTGCGGCAGCGTAGCGTAGCGTAGCGCAGCGTAGCGTAGCGCTTCCAGCGTACGCCAGCGGCAATGCCGAAGAGAGGATGCATATCGATCTAGCTTCACCAGCGTCACCAGCGGCACGCTGGCGTACGCTAGCGGCACGCTAGCGTACGCCAGCGTTTCTCCAGCGTTTCACCAGCGTTTTGCTAGCGTTTGCAGCGGCAGGGGAGTAGAGACTATGGGAGAGCTGGAGGGTACAAAACACATCGATTGCCGTCTCTCACTCGCCCTTAGTCTCTACAATGCACATCGCTTCTGCGTCTTCGACGGGCACATAGTCTCTACAATGCACATCGCTTCTGCGTCTTCGACGGGCACATAGTCTCTACAATGCACATCGCTTCTGCGTCTTCGACGGGCACATAGTCTCTACTCCCTGCCGCTGCAAGCGCTAGCAAAACGCTGGTGAAACGCTGGAGAAACGCTGGCGTACGCTAGCGTGCCGCTAGCGTACGCCAGCGTGCCGCTGGTGACGCTGGTGAAGCTAGATCGATATGCATCCTCTCTTCGGCACTGCCGCTGGCGTACGCTGGAAGCGCTACGCTACGCTGCGCTACGCTACGCTACGCTAACGCTGCCCGCAGAAGTATAAACGCGAAGCCTTATGTCGCTGGAAGGAGGAGACAGCGATGAACGTAAGTAGTTTAGGGCTATTGCGTTTTGCGACTCCAGCAACTTCGGCACCGAGTTTCATTTTTAAATTGGCCGAAGGTTACCAACATCCGCCTTAAAAGACTGTAAAGGTAGGGGTTAGTTTGGACCAATTCACTCTTGCCTTGTGGCGCTAATGGATGACACTACGATTACCTGCGCTCCGCTAAGGCTGAGCCCAAGAGGTAATCGTAGTGTCATCCTTGGCGCCAGCGCCAAGAATGAGTGTCATAATCTAGTAAATCAGGCATGGGTAAAATTAACCTTGGTAACATATTTTCAGCGGGTTTGGCGACTTAGGTAATTTAAAAATGAGCTCGGTGCCGAAGTTGCTGGAGTCCAAACGGCATTAGCCATAGTTTAGCGGTCCGCTTTTGTAGGTCACTTAGCTACAATTCCTCTCGACAAGAAAAAAGTTTAGAGAATAGAACAAGTTCACTATGCAACATCTCACTGAGGCATTCCTATCAAAAATGGTGAAACTCCCAAATTTTGTGTTGCGCTTTCACAGTTCTCTTTTTTTTTTCTTTCATAGTGACATTTTGCCCTCTCCAGGTGCAGTTTGAGCGCTAACGAAGAGATAAAAAGCCAGTGGTTACTTGCCCCAAGAGTTCAGTTAAGCCGCTCCGGGTTCTTAAAACGGCGGATTGCGATCCCACTGCACAGTGGGAACGCCATCTTGAGTTTTTTTTTTTCAAGAACAAGCCAGCCAAACATGGAATATTCCTGGTACAACTAAGCGATTTCTGAAAATACCCTAGTCATCCAAATTTTCATCGCGGAACCCTTTAGAAACTTTCACATCTGGAAACTTGTACAGGTCCCGGACAGCCTGAAGATCGAGAAAGTTTCATGAAGATGAGGCGCTGGCGGGTGAGAAGACTTAGAAAAATCCGCAAAAATTCGAATCCGCGCCAAACCCAAGCAGGCCCAAATCTTGAATCACTGCCTTCTCTTTCTTCATAACGAGCAGATGTAAGGAGTATGATAGAGTGATATTATACATCGATATCAATTGATTCTCATGGTTTTGCACAAAAGGGTAGAATATCCAGATCGAGGTGATCGACTTTCAATGAATCTTAGGCATCGTGTGAGGTTCTTCTTGATTAGATTTTATGTGAAAAAGCTTTGTTAATTATCCTTGGCTGCTGGTTACACAATTCTAATTAGAAGAAATAGGATCTCCGAAGAGAAACTAATGCGTCGCGCATCTCGAAGACACCTGCATCCAATCAGCAGCCGAAAAGTTTTTCATCTGCTCTTATAGTCGCTATGGGGAAAGTCACTTTTGATTTTTTCTTATTGTATGTTGCACATCTCACCTGGTTCAAATTCCTTACAAAAGTTTGGCTGACTGCAGTTTGGTCACCGTTTCTGTCGTTGTCGTCAAGTCCGTGTAGCCTTAAAAATCAAAGTTGTTTTGGCATCTCACATGGACCACAACTTTACATAACAGCTTTCCCTTATGCTTAAATGGTCTACTATTGGACAGATTCCCACAAAAGCGTGGATATTGCTTTTAAGGACGCCGGGTGGCTGCAGCGGGGCACTATGCTGGTGGTCAAAGCCTAAAAATCGACATTCTTTTCGGCGTACCAATCCGCCCACCTGTCGGACATGGTGTAACCACTTAGCCGTACATAAGGGTTATTTCGACAATACCGACTAGGATATCTCCCTAAATACGACGTAACCTGTTCCTAGAACTCAAGTAACAGCCGAGTGGGCTGTCTTGATTTCCCGTATGGTATGACAGTTCATTTTTATAGAGGTTGAACCATGAGTGGAAGTCCATAGAAACCAAGAAGTTTCACTCCGACCAATCCAATTACTTCTAAAGTTCTTTAATCGTTTTAACTCTTCAAGACTTCCAATGGACCGTTGCCACGATGGAAACTGCTAAAAAACTGTGCGGGTTTCCAAAGAATAGATCATTCATCAGTGCGATGTTACTTTATGGTCTGTTATTTGTTGACCATGTGCCCTGAGATGCGATGCCTTTAAATGGAAGGTCGGATCTCTCTGCGCTTAGCATCTTCGCTTTCGTCTTCAAGAGCAAGTGCCACGATAAGGCAGCGTTCAGACTTCGCGACGGCAGCGCTTCGGTCGCGCGTTCGACGCGATCGATGCAGTCGAAAGCATGCGCATCGATCGTCGAATCGCGCAGCCGAAGCGCTGCCATTGCGAAGTCTGAACGCTGCCTAAATCCACAAGGCTTACCGTCGCCTAGCACGAAGGAATTGTGCGTCCCTTAGCAGGAGCTCTGGGGCCTTTTCCAGAAAAAAAGCACCGTTATAGCGTCTCAGGGTGCAAGCAACATGCCGACCCGAACGCTCGTCGCAACACCCCCCGCCCACAAATGGCCGCACGTCACTGGTATTCTTATCGCTATACAGGAAGTATGATTGGTATGAAGCCTTGCTACATAGGTACATCAACACATCAGTGCAGCCGCATCTACCAAAGCTGACGTTGGCAGGATGCCAACGCGAAACTCGTCCAAAAATGCTCGATCAGTGCCGTGCATAACAATGGTTTTTTCACAGTTTTTGGCCGTTTAACTTCGCTTTTTCGTCATTTTGCCCTATATAGGCACTCCTGCTGCTAATTTGAGCATGCCTTCTGCACAACCAAGTAATCGCGCACCCTGCCTTTAATACGCTTCCAACCACAGGTTTTCCTACTTCTTCAGTAAGATAGAGAAAGTGTGTAGTGTGAAAAACTCTCAACTATGTGGTATGTAAAGGAAACTCACCGATACTGCAGCGAGGAGCGTACGGGCGATTATTCTCTCGACGTCAGCCTGCTGAAGATGTTCGGCATCGTGTGGAGAATTTTTGACCATTTGTGTCACATCCCGTAAAAACTTCATTAGCGCCTGAGGAATAGCAAACATGTCAAATTGAATTTTTAGTCGTGGATGGGAGAACCAATAGTTGATGAATCGCCAAGAGATACGCCACGCACTTGTTGTTCGCGCATAATCGTACAAGAATTTGAATGGATATCTAACCTCTCACACTTTGAAGCGTGGTTCGCCTAC